ACGTGAAACCTAAAAGTATAAAGTTCCTCAAGGAAAAACTAGGGGCAAATTTAGGGGCCCAATTTAGGGGCCCTGAAAGGTTGGGCAATCCTACTTCCGTAGTGATACTGCCTCGGAAACCCAAGGAGGGGTCGCTATGAGTCGGGGCTGACTTGACGGCACATAACAACAACAACAACAATATATGGCATATGTAGAGCTCTGGTGGCGTAGTACCAAAGGCATTTGACTACTAACCAGAAAGCTGGAGGTTCAAACCCACCAGCTGCTCCTCAGAAGGAAGACTGGGCAATCTACTTCTGCAGTGATACCACCTTGGAAACCCAAGGAGGGGTCACTATGAGCTGGATCTGACTCGACAGCAGTGAGTTTGACTTTGGATTTTGGAATATATGGCATAACAAGACTATCAAGCATAACCCAAGGTGCACAAACAGCAGAAGATAAACTAGATGAATGGGATCTTATAAAAATTAAATTTTTATGTGTGACTTCTCTGAAAGAGTCAAAAGAGAACCTACAGATTGGGAAAAAATATTCCACAACAACATATCTGACAAGAGGCTTACCTCTAAAATATATAGAAAACTCCAATACCTGAACAACAAAAAGACAAATAATCCAATTAAAAAACTGACAGAAGACATGAATAGGTACTTCACCAAAGAGGAAATTCAGATCTGGTAGCACAGTGCCTTGGGCACTTGACTGCTAACCAGAAGGCTGGTGGTTCGAACCCACCAGCCACTCCTCAGAAGGAAGGTCAGGCAATCTACTTCCGCAGTGATACCACCTTGGAAACCCAAGGGGTCGCTATCAGTTGGGTCCGACTTGATGGCACATAACAACAACACACACATGAAGAAATGTTCATGATCATTAGCCATTAGAGAGATGCAAATCAAAACAACAATGAGAGACCATCTTGCCCCAGCACTAGTAGCAAAGTTCAACAAGACAGAAAATAACAAATGCTGGCGAGGTTGTGGAGAGATTGAGACCCTCACATACTGCTCATGGGACTGTCAAATGATACAACCACTGTGGAAAGCAGTAGAGCGATTCCTTAGAAACACCATTTGAGCCAGCCATTCCATTACTAGATATATATCCTAAAGAAGTGAAAGCCAGGACAAGAACAGATACATGCACACCCATGTTCGTCACAGCACTATTTACAATAGCAAAAAGATGGAAACAACCTAGGTGTCCACTGAGAAATGGATAACCAAACTATGGTACACACACATGGTGGAATACTATGCAACCCTAAAGAATAATATAGAATCTGCAAAACTCCACATAACATGGATGAACTCAGAGGCCATTATGCTGAGTGAAATAAGTCAATCGCAGAAGGACAAATACTTTATTAGTCCATAATTGTAAAAAGTCAAGGAAAGGTTTACATATGGAAGGAAATTTTCTTTGTTGGTTACCAGGCATGGGAGGGGAGAGGAACGAACACTGCTAGATAGGTAGAGACAAGTATTGATTTGGGTGAAGAGAAGGGCAATGTACCAAATGTGAGTGATCAACATGGTGACAGTGAGGAAGAGAAGGACATAGGTGGTACATGGGAGGTACAGAAAACAAAGATGAACCCTTTTGCACATACACTACTGCGTTGTCAGTGATAGCAAACATTGGTCTACAGACGGATAGATAAGTGGAAAGACTGAATGATCAGGTATGTCTACACAGGGCGGAGTGTGCCCATGACCACATATAGGGTTGGCAGACAATGTTTCTACAAGTGTATTCGTATGTTGTATAAGAATTTCCAGGTATTGAAGAATTTCCATAAAATGAAGCTGACAAGGGACAAGGTTGTAGTCACTTCTTGGCCACTGCCAGCTAGCTACCTAGAGGGAACAAGTAGTTGGACCTGTGGGCTTGGGATCATAGTCACAGGGGACATCAAGCTCAACTGGCATAATACTCTACACAAAAACACTGTTCTATATCCTACTTCGGCAAGTAGCGACTAGGATCTCAAAAGCTTGTAAGCGGCCATTAGATGCAATGATGGGTCTTTCCTCGTTCAGAGCAAAGAAGAATGAAGAAAACCAAAGACGTATGGAAACAATTAGTCCAAGTGATGGTACGCCATGCGATTCTCAGCCTATACAACTATGAGACCAGAAGAACTAAATGGTATTCAGCTACCACTGTCAACCACTCAGAGGGGGATCTATGTAGGAGATCCTGGATACAGTGGGAAAACAATATGGAACAAAACACAAAATCATTCAAATAAAAAAGGGGACTAGGTTTGTTGGTCTGATAGAGCCTGGTGGAACCTCTGAGACTATGGCCCCAAGCTGCCCTTCAGGTCTGGAATTGAACCCACACCTGTGGTTGCCAGCCAAACAAAGGACAGGCATGTGACCTAAACATTTACATTAGGCAGATCCACTTCCTGGAGAGATCAATCATGGGAGAATAGAAGGTGTGGTGGTTATGTTTGTGTGTCAACTTGGCTAGGCCTGGTTGAGTAGCTGGGCAGCTGGTGGTACTTATTCCCCATGATGAGACGGGCAATCAACTCCATGGTGGGATCTACCACAAGCAGCTGAGTAGCTGCTTTAGGGATGTGGTCTGCTTCCGGTATATAAAAAATAGCTTTGGGAATGGTCTCGAGCTTATGGCTCACTTGAACCCTGCAGGGAGCAGAGTCGTTGTCAGCAGCCTGCCACGCTCTGCCAACCCTGGGACTTTCGATGGACTTGAATCAATGGCCTACCATGTAGTTTGGTAGTATCAGGACTGTGCCTTTTCACTTGTTGACCTTAGGTTTGTCAGCCTCAGAGCATCTGTCTGAGTGAAGAAAAGCCTCTAGCTTCAGTGGGCCGGGAGCAAGAGGCAGAGCTAAAGCCCAAGGTCGAGGGGCTTTCACACAACCCCTAGAGCCTGGCACTTTGAACTCAGACTTCTAGCCTCCCGAATTGTAAGAGAATAAACTCCTGTTTGATAAAGCCATTCCATTCGTATATTTCCTGTCAGAGCGGTAGTAGGTAACCAGAATAGAAGGGCTGTGTATGCACAAGGAGACAGCTCAGGGGGCAGGAATACATGGGAGGGAATTATACAGGGAAGAGGTGGCTATGGGGAGAAAGTGGGAGGAGAGCAGCTGCACTGTGGGAGATTACAGTCAATGTAATGAGACAAAGTGTACGTGTACTGCTGTATGGATGACGAATTTGCTCTGCAAATTTTCACCAAAATCACAAAATTAAATATATATATATATATAAAAGAAGATGGAAGGAATACACAAAATTACTGTACAAAAAGAATTGGTTGATGTTCAACTATTTCAGGAGGTAACATATGATCAAGAACCAAAGCTACTTAAGGAAGAAGTCCAAGCTGTATTGAAGGAATTGGTAAAAATCAAGGCTCCAAGGAATTGACGGAACACCCATTGAGATGTCTCAACAAATGGATGCATCATGGAGGTGCTTACTCGTCTATGTCAAGAAATTCAGAAGACAGCTACCTGACCACCTGACTGAAAGAGTTTGATGTTTGTGCCTATTCCAAAGAAAAGTGATGCAACAGAATGTGGAAATTATCGAACATTATCATTAATAGCACACTTCAGTAAAATTTTGCTAAAGATACTTCCAAATGGTTTCAATAGTATACTGACAGAGAACTTCCAGAAATTCAAGCTGGATTCAGAAGAGGACATGGAATGAGAGATATCACTGCTGATGTCAGATGGATCTTGGCTGAAAGCAAAGAATACCAGAAAGATGTTTAACTGTTTTTTACTGACTATGCAAAGGCATTTGACTGTGTGGATCTTAACAAATTATGGATAGCAATGCAAAGAATGGAAATTCCAGAACACTTAATTGGCTCATGAGGAATCTGTATACAGACCAAGAGGCTGACATTCAACCAGAGCAAGGTGATACTGAATGGTTTAAAATCAAGAAGGAAGTGCATCAGGTTTATATCCTTTCACCATACTTATTCAGTCTGTATGCTGAGCAAATAATCCAAGAAACTGGACTATATGAAGAAGACCTGGCACCAGGCTTGGAGAAAGATTCAGTAACCACCTGCAATATACAGATGACACAATCTTGCTTGCTGAAAGTGAAGATGATTTAAAGCACTTACTGATGAAGGTCAAAGACTACTGTATAGATTATGTCTCGACATAAAATGAAAATCCTCACAACTGGACCAGTAAGTGACATCATGATAAACGGAGAAAAGAATGAAGTTTTCATTTTACTTGGATTCACAATGAACACCAATGGAAGCAGCCATCAAGAAATCAGACATCGTATTGCACTGGGAGTATCTGCTGCAAAACACCACTTTAAGACGTTAAGAAGCAAAGATGTCACTTTGAAGATTAAAGTGCACCTAACTCAAGCTACGGTATTTTCAATCGCTTCATATGCACATGAAAGCTGGACAATAAATAAGGAAGACAGAAGAAAAGCTGGCCCTTGAATTGTGGTGTTGGCAAAGAATACTAAAAATACGACGGACTGCCAGAACAAACGTCTCACCTACTTTGGTCATGTTGTCAGAAGGGGCCAGTCCCTGGAGAAGGACAGCATGCTTGGTTAAGTAGAAGAAAAGTGAAAAAGGGAAGACCCTCAACAAGATGGACTGACACAGTGGCTACAACGATGGGCTCAAGTATAGCAAGGATTGTGAGGATGGTGCAGGACTGGGCAGTGTTTTGTTCTGTTGTACAGAGGGTTGCTATGATTTGGAGACAACTCGACGGCACCTAACAACAACATGGACTGAAACTAGCTCAATCTCTTCACAGTACATATCACCAAGTAGCCAAACGTGAAAACTGTAACCAATAATTTAACTAACATATATGAGAAAAATGTTTTTATAGTACAATTACTTGAGGGGACACTTCATCAGATATCCTTATTTATAAACCACAAAAAATATTTCATATTTAGAGATACTATGACAATCTGTCATTCATTCTTCACCTACAAAGTACTTACCACAATGCCAATAAAAATATTCCCCTTTTTTTTGTCCTTAATAGTTTCCTTGTTTTCACAGATACACAGCAGATAATTGGTAGAATTATCAGTCATTATCTCGTCAACATTTATAGCATCATCCAGCTTCATCAGGGGATTCACATGTAGTAATTATTAAAGAAAAATATATAATACATTCCCACTAGTATTATCTGCTTTCTCCTTTTAAAATAGTGGTTCATTTTACCAGCTCTTTAGAGGATACCTAGATCTTTGCAATCTATATGGTATTCTTTCTTGGATTTACTCAGATCATAGCTGCCTACTTCATCCATCCTAAGTTAAAAGGTTGATGAAGACAAATGACTATCATCTCCTCACTTCCAAAGTGCTTGCAAAATACATCAGATACTGTGGAAGCTCGAATAGTAACCCTCTTTTGTTGATCCCATAAATCCTTAGTAATCCCATAATATTTTAATTAACACAAGTCAAAGCCCCTGAAAGTTAATAGTGGCCAGCTACTTCCCCTTACATAAATCTACAAATAATAACCCCATAATCATTCATATCTAATTTCAAACTCCTAGTGATTATTTGTAATATCATCATGCCTTGCTCTCTATGCATTTTCTGGCTTAGAGTTTTATGAAAGTGCCTAATAGCTCCCAGAAACAGTAAAAGATTTTTTTAAAAAAACATGAGAAAAGAAAAAAAAGAAGAAATCGTATACATACACACACATACTTATACATAGGAACTCTGGTGGCACTGTGGTTGAAACACTGGGCTACTAACCAAAAGGTCAGCAGTTTGAATCCACAAGCTGCTCTGCAGGAGAAAGCTGAGACAGTCTGCTTCCATAAAGATTTACACTTTGGATACCCTGTGGGGCAGTTCTACTCTGTGCTCAAGTTACTATGAGACAGAATCAACTCAATGGCAGAGATTTACATGTACATATGTATATATGTAAAAAAACAAACTCACTCACTGCCATCAAGTCAATTCTGACTCATAGCAACCCCTACTGGGTTTCCGAGGCTGTAAATCTTTGCAGAAACAGATTGCCCCATCTTCCTTCTGCAGAGCAGCTGGTGGCTTTGAACTGCTGACCCTCTAGTTACCAGCCAAATGCTTTATCCACTATGCCACCAGAGCTCCTTAAACCAAAAAAAAACCAAACTCACTGCCGTTGAGTCGGATCCGACTCATAGCAACCTCTTCTCAGGTTTCCGAGACAGGATCTCTACGGAAGTAGATTGCCTAACCTTCCTTCTGAGGAGTGGCCTGGTGGGTTTAAACCACCAGCCTTCTGGTTAGCAGTCAAATGCCTTAGCACTACACCACCAGAGCTCCTTAGTATATATATATGTGGAAAAAAAAAAAAAAAAACTCAGTGCCATCAAGCCAATTCTGACTGGTAAGAGCCCCTCTGGGTTTCTGAGGTGGTAATCTTTACGGAAGTAGATTGCCCAGTTGTCCTTTTGTGGAGTAGCTGCTGGGTTTGAATGGCCAACTTTCTGGTTAGCAGTGAATCACCTTAGGTACTACACCACCAGAGCTCCTTACATATGCATATATGTGTGTGTGTATGTGTACACACACACACATATATACACACAAAAAATAAATCAATTAAATAAATCATCAGGAATAACAAAGTCAGTCTTAATTAGCAAAGCTAGTTTGGATAAAGTTCTGCTTTTTCAGCAGATAAGAACTATAGCACCAAAGAAGCGAGGAGGGGGGACTACTAGTTTAGGATAAGGCTTCGAATGAAAGACTCAGGCTCAGGCAAAAGAAAAAAATAAAACTGCCAGGCCCTGGTGGCATAATGGATAAGGACTCCACTGCTAACCGAAAGGTTACCAGTTTGAATCCACCTGACGCTTTGCAGGACAAAAATGTGGCAGTCTGCTTCTGTAAAGATTTAGTCTTTGGAACCTTATGGGCAGTTCTACTGTTTACAGGGTTTCTACGAGTCGGAATCAACTCAATGGCAACAGATCTGGCTTTGGTTTTGGTTTATAGCCTAATTAGCTAGCAATACAAGGTTGTTACTGGTTTAGAAGTCCATTCTGAGTGATAGGCATTTCCTATTCATGCACAGTATTCAAGGAGCGGAACCGTTCTCAGAATTAGGACAGAAGCTGGGTAGGTCTCTAAATACGCACATATGGATTAAACCATAACAGAAATATTAAGAAATATTATTTTCACACAGTATCATCTAAGAAATTCTTATCTCCACATTCTTTTATTATAGGGGAGCCCCGGTGGCATAGTGCCTAAGGTATTTGACTGCTAACCAGAAGGCTGGCGGTTCAAACCCACCAGCCACTCCTCGGAAAGAAGATGGGGCAATCTACTTCCATAGTGATACTGCCTCGGAAACCCAAGGAGGGGTCCCTAAGAGTCGGGTCCGACTCGACTGCACATAACAACAATGACCTCACTTTTAAACATTTTAAAATACAGCCTTATCCCATTTTATATATAATTGTTTTTAAAAATTAACAGTATTTTACGATTTTGATTTTGCAATTATTTTGCTTCAAGCAACTCATTTGATTTATAAATGACTATAAATTTGAGGGTAATATTGTGTAGCACACAGAAGACTCCATTGCAAAGTCAGAAAAGTTCACTTACAATGCATTTTCAAAAGTAACAAAATTGTTACAAAGATTTAATGAAGATGATCTACTATTATGTTTTATAAGCATTTAACCGTGCACTCATTTTAATTTTTGCAGTTCTCTTTTTTCACACTGTGAAGCTAATAAGTTCCTTTTTAGGTCTCATTTTAGTAAGCGCTTGAAAAGCTTGTAGGTCTTGATCACTGCCCACAAATAGCTTAGGTAAGGTGTGATTTCAAATCAGCTCCTAACCTACCATTGTCTTTTATCGGGCTCTCGTGTTCCATTAACTTTTCTTACTGTTAAAGAATGACAAACTCTGCTTTTACTAGGGCATTTGAAAAACTCTTGTTTCTAGCCATCACCAACCCTTCCCTTCTCAGAAGCACACAAATCATCCGATCTGACCCACTCGAAGTACAGTTAAATAAATAAGAAATAAGTAAGAAATAAATAAAACTGTTATCTTCAAACATTTAAGATAAAAATTCTATTCAAAAAGGATATCTTCTCCAATAAGGGTAGATTTTGTATAAAGAGCGGTCAACTTCCGGGAAAAGACTGAACTTTTATTGTCCCCAATGGCTTTTAATGCTGCAGTTTCAGTTTGCTTCACAACTCCCACCTTCAACAAAAATAAGAAATAGTAAATTTGAAAGATGATGCAACTTTTTTAAAAATACATTTCAAAATTTTAAAAGGTTAATTCTGTAACATTTAAAATAAGCAAATTAATTATGCTACAGTCTTACCACCCAGAGTTTACAAATGCAAATTACTCAACAACACTATTACAAAGCTAACTTTTTTAACCCAAAATATCTAACAATATGTTTAAAACTTATGAAAACATAACGCTAATAATTATTGTACATTTTCATTTCTCCAAAATGCCAAATTCCAAAAACAATTAAAACCTATCTATCACTCTGCAACATGTTTTCACTCTAGAAGAGAATCCCAACTCTCTTTCCCAAGTTAAGCCAAGGCTGACCTTATATCCTTTTGCCACAAGGCGGCGCACGTGAACAAACAGTCTATGAGCAGGTATACTTGCTGTCATGAAGTTGTGATCCAAATGGCAATAAATATTGAGTTCTCGGGCTGCAATCTATAAAATTTTAAAAAGAGAGTATTAATATATTTCTATTTCAAGATTCCCTGTGTGGGGTCTGTTCACTTTGTGAAAATTCATCAAGGCACGTACTTAGGATTTGTGTACTTCTCTATGTGTGTGATGCAGCAACAAAAAGTTTAAAAGAGAGTCTCTGTATGAAAGCTTAGGGTTTACTCTATTTTTGGAAGTTTCAATGGCCTCATCTCAGGGGTAAAATATTCATCTAAAAACTTCTAAGAAAAACATAACAGGTCTTCTTCTAAATCTTTAAATCTAACAAAACCTTAAAATGCTGAGCTTACCCTACTCAAAGACTATTCAGTACAAAGAACATGAGACTGAAATAGAGTAAGAATTTGCTACATGGCACATGCAAATAAATATTAGCAGACCCTACAGAGTATACCAGAGCTCTGGTAACATAGCGCTAAGGCACTTGACTGCTAAGCAGAAGGCTGGCGGCTCAAACTCACCTCCACTCCTCAGAAGGAAGGTTGGGCAATCTACCTCTGTGATAATACTGCCTCGGAAACCCAAGGAAGGGTCGCTATGAGTCAAGTCCAACTTGATGGCACATAACAACAACAACAACAAAGTATAACTAAATTACTTCTTTCCTGGGTAGTCCAATCAGTTAAAAGCTTGACAACTAGCCAAAAGGTTCGTGATTTGAGCCAGCCAGCGGTGCCTGGCAATCTGCCTCTGAAAGGTCACAGGCTTGAAAACCCTATGAAGCAATTCTAGTCTGTACACACGGAGTTGCCACGAGTTGGAATCAACTTGATGGCAACTAACAACAACATACCTAAATTATGACCCAACCTCAAGAGAGAAAACCTGTGAGGAGAAGAGGACTCCCTGACCTGGTTAGCTAGTTAATGATGTGTGAGTGGTAGGAGTGTAGAACCAGGCAGTATCCCAATCCCTTACTTTTTTCAGAAAATACCAAGGCTTACACATTGCACACTAGAGCCATGAAACTCTCATTCCAATACACTCGCACCCCTGTCCCACCACATCTTTCAACTGAATGTGTCCATCATTGTAACACAGGAAAACATCAGCCTTTACTGTGGGTGGGTGCAATTTACCTTTCAACCTAGAGATGGTGAGAGAAAAAGCATATTCTTTCACCCATTCATGTATAGGATGCCTACTCCATACTAGTTCGGAGTCTAATTTCATTAAGTGGAAAACACTACAATGCATCTGACCTACAGAACACCACTTTCTAGCCACAACATAATTTGTTTGTATTCAACAAATCTGGATAAAAAAAGTTGGCCAAGTCTTCACTTGTCATCCCATCAGGCATCGAAGCTGCCACCTCATCACTCTCTCTGATGTTGTACAGATCCAACCTAGACTGAGACGTAAGGAATCATCACAGTCATCCATGATTCCCACCCAACAAAGGCATCATCAGCAATACTCCCCCTTAGCTTGTCCATTAAATGCTCAAACTTACTTCTAACTTACTCCTGTATCAACTTACCCCTCAAAACTGAGTACAAATCACTTACACTAACAGATAGCAAGAGCAACAACATAAAAAGAGTTCTTGCTGGTGGCTGACAGAGTTAACATGCCATCGAGACTGTGGCTGTGAAAAGTCCCTGGCTGTGAAAATTTATAAATTAAGGGTAAATAGAGGAACTTGTGTATATTTCAAAATTTTTTCATGCTTGAGTCTTCATTACAAAATATCAACACTTCCATGACTATGGTTCATTTGCTAATTTATTCATCCAGTAAATTTTTGATGGATGGCAGCTACTGGAATAGCACCATGGTGTGTGAACACTGACATTCCAATAGGGGCCCCCCCCCACGACCCCCCAAAAGTCTAGCTCCCACCCAGTGTGTTTGTGTTTATTTTTAGTTTTTATTTTAAATGACATTATTTTTAAAAGGTAATTAATCAAATTAGCAAGTCAGAACATGAAATAAATGTATGGAAAAATGCCTAAGGCTAGACAAGAAAAAGATGAAGCAGTGTTTGGGAAAAACAACATACCTCCGCATCGTCGCCAAAGAATCTATATTTATATCCACATTCCACACACAATATTGCATCTTTATGCTGCTGCTTCATTTCCATGTACTGTAATTCCAATGGAGTGTAGGTGCTTTTGCTCCGTTTGTTAGATGGTTTGGGGTCAGAAGGTAGTGGTTTGCCCTGACAACAAAAAGAGCTTTACAGATTAAAAAGTATTAGCCATGAAAATTATAATAGTTCCCAGAAAGAAAACATCAACTTGGCACAAAGCTAACAATTGGTGAATCTAGGTGAAAGGTTTACAGGAACACACTGAAGTATTCAGGCAAGTTTTCTGAGGATTTGAAATGTTTCAAAGGAAAAGGCTAAAACCACCACTTGTTCTCAGTTTGCTGTACTATGTATGATGGCTTGCGTGTTGCCTGTGATGCTGGAAACTATACCACTGGTATTTAAAATACCAGCAGGGTTACTCAGGGGGACAGGTTTCAGCAGAGCTTACAGACTAAGACCGGGAAAAAGGACCTGGCAATCTATTCCAAAGAGAACTGGCCAGTGAAAACCTCATAGTATGCATAAGAAGTGCAGGAAGATGAATCTTTTAGGTTGGAAGGCAAGTAAAATATGACTGGGAAACAGCTGCCTCCTCAAAGTAGAGTTGACCTTAATGACATAGACGGAGTAAAGCTTTCAGGATCTTGCTGATATGGCATGGCTCAAAATGAGAAGAGCAAGCTACAAACATCCATTAGTAATTGGAATATGCAATGAATCAACTTTGAATCAAGGAAAACTGGAAGTTGTCAAAAATGAAATTCCACACTTGAAGATCAAAATCCTAGGCACTAGTGACTAAAATGGACTGATATTGTGCATTTTGAATTAGAAAACATAGTCTGTTATGCCAGAAATAATGAATTAAAGAGGAAAGAAGTACACTTATTGTCAAAAAGAACATTTCAAGATCTATTCTGAAGTACAATATAGACAGTGATAGGATAATATCCATATATCTACAAGGAAGGCCAGTTAATACTACTTTCATTCATATTTGTGCACCAACCACTAATGCCATGATTTTCACCACATACTGCAATCTGAAATTGATCAAACATGTAATCAAGATGCATTCATAATTACTGGTGATTGGAATTTGAAAGTTGGAAACAAAAAAGATGGATAACTAATTGAAAAATATGGCCTTGGAGACAGAAATGGGACTGGAGATCACATGACAGAATTTTGCAAGACCAATGACTTATTCATTGCAAATACCTTTTTTCAACAACATATATAGTGACTATACACATGGACCTCACCTGATGGAATACACAGGAATCAAATCAACTACATCTGTGTAAAGAAATGATGGAAAAGCTCAGTATCAAGTCAGACCAAGGCCAGGAGCCCACTGTGGAACAAACCATCGATTCCTCATATCTTAAGTTGAAATTGAAACTGAAGAAAATAAAAAGAAATCCACAAGAGCCAAACTACAGCCTTGAGTATATCCCACCTGAATTTAGAGAACATCTCAAGGACAGACTTGACAAATTTAACACTAATGACTGAAGACTAGACAGGCTGTGTGGCATAACATCAAGGACATCAAACATGAAGAAAGCAAAAGGCCATTAAAAAGACCAAAACCGATTCCAACTCATAGTGACTCCCATAGAGTTTCCAAGGGTATAAATCTTTATGGAAGTAAACTGCCTTGCCTTTCTCCCATGGAGCAACTGACAGGTTCAAACCACTGACTTTTACGTCAGCAACCCAATGCCTCAACCACAGTACCACCAGAGCTCCTCATTAAAAAAACAAAACAAAATAAAACTCACTGCCATTGAGTCGACCCTTCCTTGGATTTCTGAAGCAGTATCACTATGGAAGTAGCTTGCCCAACCTTCCTTCCGAGGAATGGTTGGTGGGTTTGAACCACCAGCCTTCTGGTTAGTAGCCAAATGCTTTAGGCACTATACCACCAGAGCTCCCTCTTCATTAAAAAGAGAGAAAAAAAAGAAAAAAAAAATATGGATGTCATAAGAGACTCTGAACCTTGCTCTTAAATGGACAGTTGCTAAAACAGAATAAATGATAAAGTTAAAAATCTGAACAGAAGATTTCAAAGGGTGGCTTGAGAAGACAAAGTATAAAGTATTATAATGAAATATGCAAAGACCTGGAGCTAGTAAACCAAATGAGAAGAATACATTCAGCATTTCTCAAACTGAAAGAAGTGAAGAAAAAATTCTAGCCTTGAATTGCAATAGTGAAGGATTCTATTGCAAAAAATTGAATGACATAGGGAGCATCCAAAGATCTTGGCAGGACTATGCAGAGTCACTATACCAACAAGAATTGGTTGACACTCAGCCATTTCAGGAGGTAGTATATGATCAAGAACCATTGGTATTGTAGGAAGAAGGCCAGACTGCACTGAAGGCACTGGCAAAAAACAAGACTCCGGGAATTGACAGAATATCCATTCAGATGTTTAAACAAACAAATGCAACTCTGGAAGAATTCTTTATATATGCTAAGAAATTTGGAAGATAGCTACCTGGCCAAACTAACTGGTAGAGAGCCATATACATGCCCATTCCAAAGAAAGGTGATGCAACAGAATGCAGAAATTACTGAACAGTATCATTATTATCAAATGCCAGTAAAATTTTGAAGGTATTTAAAAACCATAGCAGCAGTCTATCAACAGGGAACTGCTAGAAATTCAAGCCCAATTCAACAAAGAATGTGGAATGAGGGATATCACTGCTGATGTCAGATGGATAATGGCTGAAAACAGAGAACACCAGAAAGATACTTAACTGTGTTTCACTGACTACACAAAAGCATTCAACTGTGTGGATCATAACAAATTATGGATAACACTGAAAAGAATGGGAATTCCAGAATACTTAATTGTGCTCATGAGGAACCTGTACATAGATCAGGAGGCTGCTGCTCAAACAGAACAAGGGGATACTGTGTGGCTTAAAATAAGGAAGGGAGTGCATCAGAGTTGTATCCTTTCATCCTACTTATTCAATCTGTATGCTGAGCAAATAACTCAAGAAGTTGGACTATATGAAGAAGAATATAGCATTGGAAGAAGACTCATTAACAACCTGCAATACACAGATGATACAACCTTGTTTGCTGACAGTGAAGAGGACTTAAAGCACTTACTGAAGAGCAAAGCCTACAGCCTTTAGTATCGATTACACCTCAACATAAAGAAAACAAAAATTCTCACAACTGGACCAATAAGCAACATCAGGATAAAGAGAGAATAAATGAAGGTGTCAAGGAGTTCATTTTATTTGGATCCACAATCATTGCTTATGGAAGCAACAGTCAAGAAATCAAACAATGTATTATTGCACTGGGCAAATCTGTTGCAAAAGACCTCTTTAAACGGTTAAAAAGCAAAAATGTCACTTTGAGGACTAAGGTGCACCTAACTCAAGCCACAGTATGCTTGCTCAACTCAAGTCAGCTCATATGCTTGCAAACAGTAGACAATGAATAATGAACAATGAAGAAGAAATGATGCCTTTGAACTGTGCTATTGGCAAGTAATATTGAATATACTATGGACTGCCATGTTGTTGTTGTTGTTATGTGCCGTCAAGTCAGCCCTGACTCATAGCGACCCCTCCTTGGGTTTCCGAGGCAGTATCACTACGGAAGTAGGATTGCCCAACCTTCCTTCCGAGGAGTGGCTGGTGGGTTTGAACCGCCAGCCGTCTGGTTAGCAGGCAAGTGTCTTAGCCACTATGCTACCAGAGCTCCCATGGACTGCCATAAGAATGTACAAATCTGCCATGGAAGAAGTACAGCCAAGAGCCTCCTTAGAAGCAAGGATGGTTAGACTTCATCTCACACGTGTTATCAGGAGGGACCAGTCACTAGAGAAGAACATCATGTTTGGTGAAGTAGATGGTTGGTGAAAAATAGGAAGACCCTCAACAAGACAGACTGACACAGTGACTGTAACAATGGGCTCTAACATAACAATCACTGTTAAGGATGGCACAAGACCAGGCAGTGTTTCATTCTGTTGTACACAGGGATAGGGTCACTATGAGTCTCAACCAACTTAACAGCACCTAATAGCAAAATGCTAAAAAAAAAAAAAAAAAGTGTCTTTGTGACTTTAACAAACAGTTATTTATTTTCTCACAGTTTAAAAGGCTAGAAGTATGCATTCAGGGCATGAGCTCTAGGGAAAGACTCTCTCTCTGTCCACTCTGTCTTACTGTCGTTTTAGCCTCTATTCATTCCAAGGTGTCTTGGTGATCATGTGACATGCACCTTTCCCTTCATTTGTGCTTGCTTACTTATTTAATTTGTTCTTTTATGTATCAAAAGAGACTGATTTAAGACATATCCTACACTAATACAGCCTCATTAACATAACAAAGAACTCCCATTCCCAAACAGGATTATAACCATAGGTATAGGGGTTAGGATTTCCAGCACACATTTTGGGGGGAAGCAATTCATTCACTAACAAAATGTATGAGCCAAACTAAACCACCATGTAAGTATTCAAGCAAAATTTGAAAGTCTAGACATATTGATGTTTTATGTACTTTTAAATTTTGATTTTGTTAAATTTGCTGTTATCAACATTATTTTCTTTATATTATTTATTCTCAGGTGTGTAATGTAGAAAAAGCCAACCGGCATGAACATGTCTATCAGTAGTGAGGCCATGCCAGCAGCTGAAAGTACACTTACGGTTTTATAGTTCCGAGCACACTCTAAAAGATAGTATATTCTAGACTTCCAGTAAGATGGTGGCATAGGCAGACAAGCTACACAAATCCTCTTCAACAAAGAAAAGAGAAACCAATTGATACAGATACAGAAGATAATCCTGGAGCCCAGAGCTTTCACAGGAAGGACAGAAGTATTTTAAACACCAACCAGTAAAAGAACAGGAGCTCTGATAGCATAGTGCCTAAGGCACTTGACTGCTAATCAGAAGGCTGGCGGTTCAAACCCACCAGCCTCTCCTTGGAAGGAAGATGGGGCAATCTACTTCCATAGTGATACTGCCTCGGAAACCCAAGGAGGGGTCACTGTGAGTCAGGTCCGACTCAATGGCAGTGAGTTTGGCAGCAGTGAGTTAGGCTTTGGTTTGGAATTCTCGGTGAAGAGGGATTTTTTTTTTTTTTTTTTAAAGTTCCCCAGGTGATTCTAATTTAAAGCTTGGGCTGAGATTCACTATTTTGAATTGTAAACTTCAATCATGAAGCAAGAGCTAAAGTTCCCTGATTTGCAAATAATGAAAAAAATTAATGAGTCACAAAATAGACAACAGAAGTAAAAAGTCAAGTTTCATTTGATTTACCTCACAAGAGCTCTTCTCTCAAAATAGACCCTCGAAACATCTATAAAAGTTGCCTACTGCTATACAGGGAAGTTGTTATGTTGGTGAATGTGTTGTTATATATGTTTTTACCACAATAAAAAGAAAAAAAGAAAAAATTTCCCTACTGTGATTTTCCATATAGATCATGAAAACTGTAATGACTGTAAGAAACTCTCCTTCACAACAGATGGACCCTGATCAAAAGGAGGAAAAATTGTGGAACAGTTTAAAATTCTTATAGAAACCAAACTTATTGGACCAACTGAAACTGGAGGAACCCCTGTATCTATTGCCCTGAGACAGTCATTAAACCATGAACCATAATTATCCCCAGAAGTCATCTTTAAACAGTTTCATTCAACTAATAGATAAACTAATAAATAATGTTTGCCTTAATCACTACACTCTTTTAAATTATCTGTATGAGATCAAATTGACAACAGTAACTCTAAAACACAGACGAAAAGTTTAGGGGCCAGTGAATCTAAGTTAATGGCGATAAAACAATACAGGTGGAGACAGCAAGAATGGTGACACAATATAAAGAATATAACCAATGTCATTGAACTGTCCGTGGAGAAATTGTTGGGTGAGTGTATGTTTTGTTGCCTATATTTTCAACAAAAATTAAACTAAATTAAAGAAAGAAACTTTCTTTTTTATTAATTATCAAGAAAGAGTACCAAGGTTCCCCAAATCAATGGCTTCTAATCTAACCTATACATCAGAATCATCTGGGAGGTTTTTGCTTTGTTCTGTTTTGCTTTAATACAAATCCCAATCCACCCCACCCCAATACACAGTAAATCAGAATCTCTAAGTATTAAAAAAATAAAAAATAAAAACTCCCTCATTCAGTTCAGATGAACATCTATCTAATACTAACATACCTTTAGATGAACTTGTGTTTTGGAATCTTCAGAAGAAACTGCATTCTTTGCACGTAGAAGAGTGATATCATCAAAATCAGTACATTTGGGCAAAACTGCAAATCTCTCCTGAAGAGGCTTTGTTGGGATTGGATTTTGAGGAAGAGCAGAATCACAGCAGAATTCTTTCAATTTTTCCAGAGACTTTAAAACAATTCTAGTCCTCAAACATTTCTTTGGCTCTTAGCAAATCAGAAGAAAATATAATAATAGTATTTTGGCTTCAATATGTCATTTCATAAACAGAACAAAAAAAAATTTAAGGGAAAATTCACATTAAAGTAATAAACCTAACTATGATAATAATAAGGAAATAAACATTGGGTTCAAACATTTATTTGGCTCTCAGCAAATCAGAAGAAAATATAACAATAGTATTTTGGTTTCAATATGTCAATTTATAAACAGAACAAAAAAAAATTTTTTAAGGGAAAATTCACATTAAAGTAGTAAACCCAACTATGATACAATAAGAAAATAAACATTGGGTTCAGGCCACATACCGCATATTGAAACATACATTTAATTTCACTCACTCCTGAAATCCCATTAAAACAACAGTAAGGTTTTGCCCTTTTTTTCTTTTTGGCATAAATCTATAAGGACAGAGAGAAAAAAACTAGTTTAAACTGCAAATGAAATATTTCAAATCAGAAGGAAAATGGATCCACAACAATAAGTTTGTTGTTGTTGTTGTTTGCCGTCGAGTCGGCCCCGACTCACAGCGACCCCTCCTTGGGTCTCCGAGGCAGTATCACTACGGAAGTAGGATTGCCCAACCTTCCTTCCGAAGAGTGGCTGGTGGGTTTGAACCGCCAGCCTTCTGGTGAACAGTTAAGTGCCTTAGGATCTGAAAACTAAATTCTGAGGCCAAAAAAAACCATCACAGTCAAACCAATTCTGACTCAATGTTACCCATGTCCCCATGTATGTTTTTCTGGCCCTGGTAGCATACATGATTACACACTAAAACACTGGCAGTCTGAACCTACTCAGCAGCTTCACAGGAGGAAGACCTGGCAATCTACTTCCTTAAAGATTACAAGCAAGAAAATTCTATGGGGCAATTCTAGTCTGTCACATGGGGTCACTCCGAATCAAAAAGGACTCAGCACCACCTGACAATAACAATCTTTACAGAAGCAGATTACTAGGTGCTGCTGGGTGAGTTTGAACCACCAACTTCTAGGTTAGTAGCCAAGAGCAAATCACTGAAGAAAAACAAGACCAATCCCATATATAATACAAAATCTTTAAAGGACTCAGGAATTAGGGTACCAGTAGCTCCAAGAGGAGAGTAAAGGAGGGGCTCTCAATTAAAGAGGACTGGTTGAATTTCTCTACTTCAAAAGAAGAATGAAGAGTTCTCTATTTATTGTGACTCCTCTTATCTTAAATATGTATTTGAATCTCTTTGCAAATGTACTTTTATCCTGTTCATTATTATTATTATGGCATTCAAAATATATACTTGAATTACTTTTCAAATGTGTAGATGTTTCCTCCTGAGTATAAGAGCTTCCTTCTCTGTGGATGCCAGGTTTACCAGGTATAAAAAAGGAAATTTACTGCAGGTAAACTGAAGGGTTGAGAAATGAGGTGGGCCCACATAATGGATTATTACTGATCAATAAAAATAAGTGAAGCACTGATACATGTTACAACATGGATGACCTTTGAAAACATGAGGCTAAATGAAAGAAGCCAGACACAAATGGCCATAACTGTTAAGATCCCATTTATATGAAATGTCTAGAATAAGCAAATTCATAGAGATAGAAGTAGATTAGCAGTTGCTTAGGGTTAGAATGAGAAGGAAATGGGAAGTGACTGATAACAGGTATGGCTTCTTTTGAGGCTATGAAAATGTTCTAAAATTGGTGAAAATGTCAGTTCTACCCAAAGCAACCTATACATTCAATGCAATCCCAATCCAGATCCCATCTACATTCTTTAGGGATATGGAAAAAATGATCACTAACTTTATATGGAAAGGAAAGAGACCTCGGATAAGCAAAGCACTACTGAAGAAGAA